GTGCGAGGGGAAAATGCAATTCTACGAATCGCCAAGAAAATTCACTGATTTCTACCGCTAAAATAAATCACTCGTCTGATGATTCAATGCTGTGGAGACGACAATTAATTCCGTCATATTTCCCCAACGATTGAGAAATAAAACGGTACGCAACGTAAAAATAAGTCGACAGCACCAAAAAAATTGAGCGCTCGCGAATTTTTTTATTTTTTTTCAATCCCGTAAAAATGACCGGAAAAATCGTTCGAAAAAAAATCAGTATTGACTTCATTTAATTCCTCAACCAATAGACACAATATCTTGATTACTTCACCGAATTATCCGATAATTTGTAAATCTTAATTACCAAGTGGTGCGAATCGCCGAGTGGTCATCCGGTTGACCGTGACATAAATCGCGGGCAGGCGAAAATGTCGAGGATGCAAGCGCAAATTTGAAAAAAAATAAATAAAAATTATGTTGAGGCCTCAGAGGAAAGCGCTTGAGGTGCAGCTATAATCGGATCGTATCCCTGGGATTTGAGATTACGCGAGAGCGAAAGTACATTGTGGAGAACAAGTGAGAAACCGTCGATGCGATCCGGGAATGCGACATCAACTTCGAGGCCATCCCCTCGGCGTGTTTTAGATGGCTTGAATGTTCCCGGCTATCCGAGAAGGACGTACACCTTCGGCAAGACTACCTTTCTTTTCAACGCGGGTAAAAAAACCACTTCGCACCACCAGGAAAAATCCCTCTACCCAGATCTCTCCCACGAGAATTTCCAAATTTACCGATTTTCCCTCAATCTTTCCTCCGACTTTTTCTCTTCCTTCGATCGTCTCCAGTCCTGGAAATCGTTCCTTCCCGGGAAAACTCGCGGAAAATATCTGATAAAAATTAATAATAATAATTGATAAATAAAAAAATCGGGTACTCCACGCGGAAATTTTCTTGATCGGCCATTTATCTCGGCACCTGTCGATCTCAGGTGAAAAGGGTAAAGAACTTTTTTGTAGCTGGAAAAATTTCCTAGGGAAAAGGTATTTTCATATTTTCCCGAGAAATCGATGGTTTCGGGATTAATTTATATTCAATACAACCAGAAAATCTCGATAAATGAATTCTTCTGTCTGAATCGCTTTCGATGGGAATAAAAAAAAATCGGTGCTCACGGGTGGTGCCCCCAAGGTATGTAGAGTTCCTTAGAAGTTGTATAAATGCCCCCTGGTATTGCAAAACCTCCGGCAAGGTGACCTAGTTACTATCCACTGCCCTCAGACCATTTTAAGAAGGTTGAACAATTTGCCCCTTTGATTGACGAGGCCATCGATAAATCATTTTTTTCTCCATAAATTATTAAAAATTCATTGCAATAAATCGGCGAGAAAATCCCCTCCCACCAAATTTTTTTACTCCCACAATTACCAGATTTTACAAAAATATTTTGTTATAATTATAATTTTTTTCCTATTACAATTTTTATTTGTTTTGTCGTTATTTATGATAATAATTACAATAATAATTACAATAATAATCAGAACGATAATCATAATCATAATTATACAAATTGTTATTATTATCGTGAAATTAATTAATATTTTTTATAATTAATAATTATCCCACCGTGTGAAAAACAATTTTCCTTTTAATGATTCATTTGTTTAAATTTTTTAATAAGATTTGAGTGATTTTTAAAATGAAATAAATTTGAAAAATCAACTCCGGGGAACGAGTCACCTGGGGAAGGTCCTGAAAATCCGGTTTGGAAAAAATAACGAGGGGACCGATGGGTGAGAATAACTTCTCAGAACGGAATAATCAGTCTGGATGCGCCAACTTTTATTTAACTGCGAATTTTATTTTAATCTCCATTATTTCATGCCCCCGGTATTTTTTTATTAACATTCCAATACACCCAGTGAAATTATCTATTTAATGAGTCAATTTAATTATCATTAAGTGTTCGTTTAAATGATTATCTTCAGGTTCTGCCAATTTGTTTACGGAATTCTCTCGAGATTCGATTAAATTAATTAATTTCAATTAATAATCCATATGATTATCGAATATTATATATTATTATATATTATTGAATTGAGTACATAATGTACTGGGTATAAGTATGTTTGTTTTTTTTTTTGGGAGGGAATTTTTTGGATGTCGCAATGGAATTTTACAATAAAAAATAACGAGCGATAAATCAGCTTGACTTTTTCATTCCGGGAAACAATGGGGAAAATATGGAAAACTGTAGGCGGTGGTAGTCTTCTCTTCACAGGTTTATAACTTCTTGGGAATATTTAAACTCTTCGGTAAAGGCTAAGGTACACCACATGAAACTTCTGTGTCACGTGCTAGAAATGCTGTTAGACCGCCCACACATCCAGCCATTGCCCACCAGGTGATGACAAAACCCTGGACAATGCACATCCAGTGGAAAGCTGAATTAAACCCAGGGAAAAGTCTCGGGAAATTTTATTTTGGGGGTAGGAATTTTTTTAATCATGGGAACATCATGGAAATTGTGGAGATTCATTTTTTTTATTGAATTAAATTCGGGAAATCATGAATTTCCATTTTTTTGAATTCATTTTCATTTTGGAAATCGCGGAAATTGTGAAGATGATTTTTTTTATTGAATAAAATTGGGGAAATCATGAATTTCCATTTTTAAAAATTTATTTTCATTTTGGAAATCATGGAAATGGTGAAGATTATTTTTTTTTTGTTGAATGAAATTGGGAAAATCATGAATTTCCATTTTTAAAAATTCATTTTCATTTTGAAAATCGCGGAAATCGTGAAGATTTATTTTTTGTATTGAATTCAATTGGGGAAATCATGAATTTCCATTAAAAAAAATTCATTTTCATTTTGGAAATCGCGGAAATCGTGAAGATGATTTTTTTTATTGAATTCAGTTGGAGAAATCATGAATTTCCATTTTATTGAATTAATTTTCATTAAAATTCATAAAAAAAATTAATCAGGATTTTTGTATTGCCTTGAAATATGGAAATAATGAATTTTTATTTTCATAAAATCCCTAGCCATTTTGAAAATCATCAGAAAATGATAAAAATCGTTATAAAAAATCCCGAAATTATTGAAAACGTACGCGAATAGAATTAAGTTGTAGAACTAATCGGAAATCAAAAATAAAAATGGCGAAATCAAAAAATCAACGAAGGGAATGATTTCGATAATTCAGAGCCATCGACACCTGTGAAAACAAATAAAAATAAAATCGCTAACAGAAGTGCAAATCTTTTAAACAATTGAGCTGACATTTTTGCCTCGTCGCACCCATGTCACGACTCGTAGTTAATAGAGACTTGAGGTCATTGAACTCCATCCGGAGATCCAAAGAACCAGAGGACAAAGGACGGCCTTTCGTCTCGGTTTGACACATCACATTACATTCTAACTCTCACTTTTTGTTTACATAATTTTTTTATCTTTATTTTTACATGCATTCACAGTAATGACAGCCTATTCACATTTCTCTCGCCGACGCGTTAAAAACATTAATAATTAATTAGTGTAATTATTATATAATAGAAGTATTTAATTAGTTGATCGTTTAGTTCAGTTCTACCACTTGATCTATTTAAATAATCGAAAATATTTTTAATGTTAATTACACAAATCTGATTGTGTTATTGATTTTTTAAATTGTTATACTAGAAATTCTTGGATGTTCTTTTTAAAAATTTTTTGTTATTTTTGTTTATGGGGAATCTCTGGATAAATGGGAATATTTCATACTTTTTTCCAAACATCTTTTATTTCTCTTTTCGTAACTGTCCAACGCCCAACTTTCGCTCGACTCTCGTAATACAAGAACGCATGAACATTTCACTCTTTCCCTCGATCAGAGGGAAAAAGACGCATTACAATATTGATTTTCAAAACCTACTTTTTAAAATTTCAACATTTCAATCGAATTCTCAATTTGGTGTTGTTTTGATTCGTTGGAAAGTTGTGACGTACAAAAATCTCATCCGGTATTTTTTATTAGAAATTAAATTACGGAAGTCCGAACTTTGCATAATGTTGATAGACGCATTTATTTTTACGTTCGTGGAACAGATAATTCGATCGTTAAAGAGGATTATAGTCTCGGGGTGGAAATTGTTGAAACAATTTCCCCAATCGTGCGAAAAACGTTTCACGGCAATTCGTCTGCGCGCACTTTTACTCCATCAGAAAAAAAAAAAGAATTAAGTCCCAGCGATTCATGATTTCAATAATTTACGAACAATAAATGCACGAAAAATTTGCGAATTGTTATATTTTTCATTAAACAATTCATCCGAAGTCGTAAAATAATTCTCGCAATTTGTTCCATTAAATACGGGTTTATCCCGAGAACTATCAATGTTAGAAAAAAATGTTAAGAGACATTTTCTTTTGGAAATTTGATTGAGAAGAAAAAAGTCTTTTGACGTTTTTCTCTTAAGTCGATAGTTTTCGGGATAAAGTGGTGATTACGATTTCTTCAGAGTGAAATTCGAAAATCAATTATAAATGTTATTATGAATATTAATTAAAATATAAAAATAAATATTGGAATGCATTTCTAACTTGTTTATACTCTCCGCAATTGATGGTCTGCAATTATTACACATCACGAATTCCTGAAAATTGCACAAGTGGTAGAGATCCTTCTGGTCTTACTGCTTTCATGATTTTTATTTAAATCCTATATACCACACCTTGAACTTTCCAGATGCATTCAATGACTTTCCCAACCATTGCATTCAATTCCATCAATTATCGAGGAAAAATCCGCTATTTTTCCCTCAAACACTCCCCCCACAATTAATTTCCTCTCTTATCAATTTCAATTCTCAAAAATAATAATTAATTCTATTAATTCCTCTCCCATTTTTCGCACGCCATTTTTCCCATTGAAAATCATCAATTCGTTATGAAAATTCAATGCAATAAATTCAATTTTTTTTACGAAATGTCAACAGAATTTTTAGAGAAAGCGTTCGATTTTTTTATTCAACTTTTATTCTGAATTCTTTTGACATTTACATGTCCTCTTTATTCAAAACAAATCCATTAGTTTAATAGCACGTGGGTTTCAATATAATCAAAGTGAAAACAAAGTAATTGTGGGTTTCATAGGACATCATCTGAATGAAATGAAACGTGAAAACGTGAGGGAGTCATCATGAAATCTGGGAAAGTTGCCCCATATTCCGAGACTTGCAATTGAGTCAATTGAATTCGTCATATTTTTATTAAAAAATTCATATTAACTCGTCCGTTTACACTTGCAAATTAGACAAACAAGAATATAAAAACACGAAGACGATGGAGTTATACTATAAATTGTCATCTTTTAATAAAAATACTTTGAAAATCATAAATTGAATCGTTAATTGAATATTACGACTCCTGATTTAATTGGGAGAAATTCTTCCAACCGAATTAAAAAAAAAGTGGCGGGGGAAAATTGCGGAGTGGAAATTATTGCGGGTGTCGAATATTGAGGGGGAGATTAAAGTCCGGCTAGATTGTTATTGAGAATTATTTCTTTATTATACTTTTAAGAAAAATTCCGATTTATTTGGCCTGCGAAGGGCTTAGGACTCTGGATTAAAATGTGTAAATTTTTGTGTGAAAATAATAATTTGGGTACAGAAATAATTTTGTGTTGCGTAATGATACGTCGAGGGTATTTCGAGCTGGGATGAAAGGGAAAGTGATACAAATAAAAATAGAGAATGTCGGGACAAGTCGCAGGACGCATTATTATCTAAATATTTAATTATCTTTTTTCCTCGGTCTTTCTCCACTGGAGTGACGAGGGAATAGCAGATTCCTGTTGGTGCTGTTCTCTCGTGGAACTCGATTGAAATATCCTGGGGCTTTCTTGTTTACCAACGGCTGACGATCACGAGGGGAAGTTTAAATTATTATCAGTATTTAATACTAGAGTCATTAGGCTAGTGTGGGCATGATGATGAGCGATGATCCGAATCTAGACGAACATTAGCTGAAAATTTGAAAAACAATGGAATAATTATTATTATAAAATATAATTATTCCTGGGAAGTCAAGAATATTTATGGTAAAAATTTCGGAGACGTGTGCAATAAATATTTGTTTACTGGGTTTATAAATAAAAAAAAGGGAAATAAATTTTTAATAGGGATATATTGAGTGTTGAGGAGAGGCTCACCATTTAGCTAGGGTAAAATGCCTGCAGGAGTCAGACGGTTTGTCATAACTGAGTCCTTCGTCGCACTGTATCAGCTGGGGTCGGCTGTTCTTGCAGACGACGACACTGGTGCAGGCTTCGTCGAGCCGATGAACCTTGCCAGTTTCACAGGGTAGTTTCATCAACTCCGCGGGGATGGTGTGCATTGTGCCCCAGGGATTGATCACCGTTGGGCCCTCGGTTGAGCCCTCCAGGGCACTGGGATCGTTGTAAAAACTCTGCTGGCCCTCGAGCTCGATTTGGCTGGCAGTGGGACGCTGATGCCAGGGATCAGTGGGGGTTCGGAATCCCCATTGGGGCTGGGGGTAAGGACCTGGGGGAAAAGTGATGGGAGGGGGCTGGGGGCGGGGCTGATCGGGTTGAGAACTTCCTGGGGTACCTCCTGGGGTACCTCCTGGGGTACCTCCAGGAGAGGAGCCTCCAGGAGAACCTCCAGGAGATGATCCTCCAGGGGATGACCCACCAGATGACCCCTCGGGTTCTAAAGTCGGCAGAGGAAGAGGTCGAGGAGTGGCTGCACCCTGACAATCCACGTTGTAAGGATAATCACAAATTCCGAAAGCCTGGAAATAATTAATTCATTAATTAATTAATTAATCTACTGAAAAAATCAAAAATCATTATTAAAATTACGAATAATAACGGAAAAAAGAATTTTAAACATAAATAATCCGGGATAAATAATTTCAGTTGTTTAAGTGAATAATATTAATTGATCAATGAATTAATAATAAATTAATCAATCGCTTAATAAATGAATAATAAATAAATAATTAATTTCATTTCAATAAATTCATAATAATTGCAGCGATAGTTTTATTTTCAGTGAGAATGATTTTTTTCCACTGCACTTTGGGTCTTGTGTTGAGTCCGAAAAATGTGGTATTCGAATCGTGTGGGACCGACGAGAGAATTTCAATGACTCCACGCATTCTCTCCTCGGGAAAATTTTTTGGTGAACTCACGTCATTGTAGACCAGTCCTTGAGGACAGTTGAACTTGATTGGACTTCCAGCAAGACACACGTAGAATTCTGAGCAGTTGCTTGGACTTCTGTAACGGCCGTTTGGATCTGGACATCTGCGAGAACCGGGTGCCAGTGCCGGTTCTGAAAAAATATCCCATAATTCATATCTCTCTTGATTAATCGCGAGTACAATAGCCCGTTACGTCACAGCAATAAACAAAATGAGTAAATAAATATCGATAAATTACCCATCACTCAGGAATAAATTCAGCAATAATAAATTCAGCAATAATAAATTCAGCAATAATTTCCGAGGAAAGAATTTATTGAACTCAAATCGATGAATAAATTGTTTATTAATTTCAAGGAAACCATTTATTTAATTCGAATAGATGGATTATTTAAATAAATTCATTTATTCAATGAAATTCGATAAAAATTCTGAGGTGCTGGAATTTTTTTTCCAGCGATCCCGCAATTGTCGGAAAAAAAAAATTTCACATCGCGAATTACGTGAATTGTTCCGTAATTTTCACTTGATATTTCACTCCGCCTTCGCGAGCGATTTATAAATCCAGTATTATTTATTCTTTGCGTTGTCTCTTTTCGATAATATTTCTATTTGTTTCATTTCTTCGGTTCTCTCAAACCCGCATGCATAATTAATCAGCTAATCGCGAAGATCGATCTTGTCTCGGGTGATTTTTAATAAGTAGTTCTACATGATCTGAGGGCGAGAATTAATATAAGATGGGTTAATATGAGATTATCGGATTGGTTCTCTGAATCAATAACAATTTTTCAATTAAATAATTTGCAATAATTCCTCACAGAAATAATTAATTTAATCATTAATGAAAAATTGCAGAATTTATATTTCTATTTCCCGGAAGAATTGAGAATGAATTTTGGAACGAAATGACAGAATTATTGATTGACTCTCGTAAATCGGATAATTCTGAAATAGAACTGAAACTAAAAGTCGATCCGCAGGAATGATATCCACCGATCTGAGTTACAGTTACACCGATATTAAGTCGAGTACATGTTGAAAACGAAATAAGAGGTACAGACTTATTGATGGGTGTACAAGGCACTCGATCATTATTTTTTACCAGACGCCACGTCATACATCAAACTGGAATGCCGATAGCTTTGACAGGATACACGTTGTGTAGGCGGTAAATGGTCTTTGAGAGGTGGAGATTACTTACTTGGTGTAGGTCCAGGTCGATTTCCGCAGTTGACGTTTTGCTCGAAGTCGCAGTATCCGACTTTATCGTTGAATAGGAGATTGGCGGGGCACTGTTGCTCAATTACGGTGTCGTCCCAGCAGTTGAGGTAGTTAGCGCAACTTTTTGGACTGGGAAATTGTCCTCGGGCGGCGGGACATCCTGGTGCTGGTATAGGCCGTTGAGATCCCTGTCCTGGTTGTCCTGGTTGTCCTGGTTGTCCAGGAATTCCTGGTTGTTGTCCACCTTGTCCTGGCTGTCCTGGTTGTCCTGGTTGCCCAGGAATTCCTGGCTGTTGTCCTGATTGTCCTGGTTGCCCTGGCTGTTGCCATCCCTGTCCTGGTTGTCCGGGAATTCCAGGTTGCCCTGGTTGTCCGGGAATTCCAGGTTGCCCTGGTTGTCCGGGAATTCCAGGTTGCCCTGGTTGTCCAGGAATTCCTGGCTGTTGCCCACCTTGTCCTGGTTGTCCTGGCTGTCCAGGAAATCCTATTTGTCCTGGAAATCCTGGCTGTTGTCCGGATTGTCCCGGTTGTCCTGGCTGTTGCCATCCCTGTCCTGGCTGTCCCGGTTGTCCAGGAATTCCTGGCTGTCCCGGCTGTCCAGGGATTCCTGGCTGTCCTGGTTGCCCTGGAATTCCCGGCTGTCCCGGTTGCCCAGGAATTCCTGGCTGTCCTGGCTGCTGTCCACTCTGTCCTGGTTGTCCTGGTTGCTGCCAGCTTTGCCCCGGCTGTCCAGGAATTCCTGTTTGTCCACCCTGTCCCGGTTGTTGCCATCCCTGTCCTGGAATTCCGGGCTGTCCTGGCTGATTTGGATTCGGGGGAAATTGCGGGGGAATCGGCTGTGGAAATTCACCACCTTCACCACCCGGGAATCCCGGATACTGTCGCGCCACATTTGAATTCAATGACTCCGGCGGAACTGTTTCCACTGGACTTGTCAATGACACACTGTCAGTCTCCAAATCTGTCTGCCATGACTCTGTCCTCGGGTCCAATTTCTGCACGTCCGCACGCTCCCACGTATTCTCCGTCGCTGCTTATCAAAATTATCAAAACTCCAGGTGAGACACCAAAAAATAATCGTCTCGCGGAATTCATCAGCATTTCAGAAAAATTCGAAATATTTCAATATTTAATTTTTTTTTAATCCATTCCATCAAATATAAAATCTTCATTTCCAGAATTAACAATTCGATTGAAAAATTCCAAAAATATTAATGTAATTAAATCAACAATTGATTTTTATTTAATTTAATTAAAAAATCTTCAATTCCATTAATCGTAAAGAACTCATTATTTTATACTAATTGCAAAAAAAAATCTTGGACTTGAAAATGTGAAAAAAAAATTTGTTAATGCAGAAAATTTTTCTGGGACTCACTCTCAGGTTGATTTTGAAAGGGTAGCTGTCGGCCCCCGTATCTCACCCTCCCTCTAGATGGGGTCCCACGGGCTTCTAAACCAATCACTAGAGCTACCAGCGGTATCAAGAGCTTCATTGCTCAGGGCCAGTTAAATTGAGACTAAGAGGTATTTCAGGTTGACTTGAAAAAATCACGTATCAAAATTTGCGAGTGAGCACTGGCTCGACCTTGGCTGGTCTCTTGATGCTGGATGGGCTGGACCCCGTGAGTCCCAGGGCTTACATAGGGCGGCCCCCACCACGGGGGAATCCGCAGGACCCCAATTACACGGCACTCTGAAACTTTGCTCATCCTTCTTTGCGCAGGAAGTGCACTCTAACGTCCCCCCTTTGCAAAAAAAAAAAACAACTTCCACCCCTCCCCCCCTTCCCCCTCCCACCGCCCGACTGTCAATTACTGCAAATACCACGTGCTTTCAAAATTGTGTTAATTAACTATTTCAAGTCGAGGAGTTGATGTCTGGATGCTGCAGATGCTGTTTAAATTTTTTGAAAATGGAAATGAAAATTTTTTGTATAAATTTTTTGAAATGTCGCGAATTAAATTTTGAAAAATCGCGGAAGGAAAAATAATAATTCAGTCTTAAGAATGAAGAATTAAAATAATTGGATTCTCAATATTTTTTTTAATGAAAAGAAGATTTTTAATAAAATAAAATATTTTCAATGAAAAATTATCAATTCTGTGCAATAATGAGAAAAATTTTTTTATTTGATGAAATGAAATCCTTTATTTTTTAATTTAAAAATGCTGAGATCTCAGAGCTGCACGGAAATTCCCCCATCCGGCGAAATGAGTCGATGGAAATAACACGTGCCCTGAAAATAGCGCTAATATTTAAAAAAATTTTGGAATACTTCGACTCAAGAATTACCTGGAATCCAACTGTACCTGGATAAAAGTGAATCACCGGGAATAAACCGCGAAAATTTATTTCCCCTCGATTTATTTTTCCGTTCGACTCATTGATCGGTAGTTGAATAAATTCTCTACGCACTTTCTTAATTCCAACAGAGAAAATTTTTGGGGGTAATTGCACAGGTTTAATTAGTTGACAAAAATATCGTAAAATTTAAATGACAAAAACGTCATCCACATGTGAAATGTTGTTTCAGGTTAATTTGAGGGTGAAACGGATAAATTACAAGGCGGAAGGCAAATTTTAACTTTCAATTCTCCAGGTTTTGATTGCAACGGAATTTTTACGGAATTTCCATGAAAATTTAATAAAAAATGATTTATACCACAGATCAACACTCACGTTATTTATAAAAAAATGTCTCAACTATAATTATTCATCCCAATTACAATGGGTTATTTAATCCTCTCTAAAAAAGGCAATTGAAAAAAATCACTTAATTTTAAATTGTTATCAATTTTTTCCGATAAAAAATGGTGGACTTAACGAACTGAACCTCGACCGATGAAAAATTAAATAAAAAATGTCTTTTTTTTTTGCTATCCTGAGGCAAAATATTTTTGCAAGACCAGAAGCCGAGGGATGACCGAGTGTAGGCGTGAATAATAAGAGTTCGGGTTAAAAACCTCATGTTATGAATCGACGAAAGTAAATGCAGTCGGTTTGTCCATTCGAAATAAAATTCACGAGGACCTACGCCTCTTCAATCGGCGAAGAACCTGTTGTCGTCCTCTCAAATAACTCGGTAAGACGACGTACGAACTGAGCCGAATTCTCATTAAAAAAAAAAAATATCAAGTATCCCACACTCCGATTGCAATCGAACACCGGAGTCGATACCCATAAATCGATTCTGGACAGGCAACACCCATACCACAACATTTTCCATCTCGCGTCACAACAGAGATTTTTATTTATCGCTTAAAAATTCAAGTGCAAAGTATACTTGATTCAAGTATTCAATAATAATATGATGACATGCCAAGGCAGAATTTTTTAATCATCGGAAAAATTGAGATTTTCCATTTTTTTTATTGAAATCAAATTATTGTTAAAAAAATTTTATCGCCATTAAATATGAATGTGTATTAATTCTGAAAATTGAATAAAATAAATAATATAAATAAATCTGTAAAAGGCTTCAAAAGCCATACAGTGGCAAATAAATAAATAAATAATTTAAATAAAAAATATTGCGGAAGAGGAAATCGCGGATTTTCTGCGGGAAATCAATTTCTGATCTGCGAATATTTACAACTCGAGTTTTCAACCGGCTGTCATAACAAATAGAATTTTTATCCAGTTCCAAGCCCTACGGTAAATTATAGACGAAAAACAATTATAATAAATTATAAACATGAAGTTCGTGTGAGAAATAGTGGACGCGGGAATTTCGATAAATCATATCGACAACGGGCAGTTTCTGCTCCGCTATGTATCATCGTCTGGCGACCTTGAGGTCTTAAAACCTGTTTTGAAAATTTCACACCTTTGGAGAAAATTAGTAGGAGCGGTGCATTGATGGATGAAGGTACTTTACCGCCAACTCATCGTCCTTCGTCCTTTGAAAAAATGTCCTCGACACTTTTTGCTGGTTTCGGCTAAAACTCCATTTGTTTTTTTTAAAGTATTCGTTAACGTGGGAGAAGTTCATGGGATTTATCCAGGTGATGGATTTTCAGGGGATGCTCATTACATTTCAATTATGACAATCACCAGGAGGGGGAGGTAATTTTATTTTTTTGGGAATAATTAATAAATAATTCATAATTCAAACAAGTTCATTGAATTGTAATACTCCATTATTATATTTATCTCCAACGATTTTATTTATTATTATAGCATTATTATCTGTTGTTTGTTTATTATTAATTTGTTGGATAACTCAATTATTCAGGATAATAATAATTATTTATTATAGTGGCAATGAAAATTTATTGTTGTTCTTATTTTTTATTTTTGCTGCAATAAATATTTGTTAGTGTTTTGGGATTGGTACTCCGTTTGTCAATGCGCATCTCCTACTCATTGGGAATCCCCTAAATACTTAACTCGAGTGAATGAATCCTTGAAAAAAAAATAATTAATTCTTTTGTCATTGCAGAAGCACCAGCTTCTCCGAATTTTCTTCAGATGCGGTAGCAGTACTCACTTCCAGTACAATTACCTCAAATTTAGTGTACCAATTACTGAGCTCTTTGTCCCTGGCTCTCATGGTAACATCCTCGGAGTAAATAAAACGGCCATTTACTCGCAGGATCTCGTGATCATTAATTTTCATTAACATAGAGTGGAATGGAGCGACTTCTTCAGAAAATAATAAATCCTTTTGACTGAATTACTCAACAGAAACATTTTGTGGAATTACCCGACCTTAACTGGGTCTTAAATTCAACGTCATCCTTATGTATGGCCTGTACATATGTACTTATCGGCCTTGGCACTTCAACTCTAGTTGATTTTACTCGTCGGTTGAAGTGAAAATAGAATTCATAAAGCGACTCGTGAAATCCCGTACGGAAATATCAATTTTAGTGCCTGTAAAGTCGAGGATTCCCCGAGCCTCAGCCGACAGTCGAAATAACGCGGGAAATTTTGAAATAATTAATTGATTCAGCAGGTAATGAGTAAATTGCGATAAGTCGAATTTACCATTTTTCTCGATTATCGGTTTATCTCGAAAACTATCGCCCTGAGATGAAAATACCGGAGGACTTATTTGTGGCCGATTAAATTCCCGACAAAAAAGATCTTTTGATATTTTTTTGTAAAATCAATATTTTTTGATTTATCAAATATATAAACATTCAAAATATACGACAAAAAATTTAATACATTTTTTTAATAAATCGAAAACAAACGGAAAAAATGAAATAAAAAATGTATATCAAATATATTCCAAAAATATTCAAAAATATATCATATACTATATTATATATTTTTAAATATATCTCAATATATTCATGTAGTTTATTTTTTATTTTTTGAGATGCACTTTAGGAAATATTTTCTAAAAAAAAAAAATCATGTGTCCTTGACACCTGGAGCGTCGAGACGTCGTAATATTCACAAAAATGGGGAAAGAACGCGGAAGGACACGGGCCCGTCCATTCCACCGTTTTCTGGTAGAGATAAGGCGATGACCAGTCCCTTAACGAATCTCAGGACTGACTCAACCCGTTCGATTCATGTAAGTCGCGAATAAAAATACAAATGCACGAGTCGATTTTTCGAGTGGTCCCGGTTCTCCAGTCACCTCCAGTCGTAATTTTATTATCCGACCCCTCAATTTTGGCAATGAGGAAGCAAAACCCCCGCGAATAAACACAGAAGTAAATAAAAAAAAATAAAAAAAAAATTAACAAGTCCCGGAATGATTTTCATCCCGTTATCAGGTAATTCCCAAGTGCGGGAAATTCCACGGGTTTTGAATTTATTCAAATTACTCACATTGCGACATGAATTTACACCGCTAGAGGGGAGGGGGATGAGGGGGTTATGTTGTCCGTGGGTTGATACCACAAAATGGCTGATGAGGAATGAAGATGGACGAGTCCTCGAAGGAGGGATTTCAAATGTGGGGACGTCTTCGCGATGAAGAGCAGTCTCGCTGGATCTTGAACACCATCGTGACTAGAATTCACAGCGTGATGTCCAGTCAAGGCTAGATAAATAAATAATAACAACTGTCAGGCACACTGCACCCTGCATAATTATTTATAATTAGCATTTCGGTGTTTCAGGGACGGGATTTTTTAAATCGCAAGGACTTGGTCAGTCATTGAGTCATCGGGGCCTAGAGGCAATTTCAATTTGTAATTTGATACTTGAAAGGTGGGAGGTGCTGATTAAAACATCACCATCCAGCAAAAAAGCTCTCATTAATTAAGAAATCATTAAAATAATATTAATTCAATCGTGATAATTCATGAATTAAATATAAAGTGAAAATAATAAATATTCATGTCTTGGAAAATTTTGGAAAATTTTTGGAAAATTGAAAGAAAAAATTTTTCGCTCAGTGAGAATTTTTTATTTACCGATTTTTTCATGGAGAACATTCTTTAACGCGTGATCAATTGAAAATAAAAAAAAAATAAATAACTAATGGCTGACATTGTCAGACTCATTAGCGTTTCGTCTAGATAACCGTCGCGTGTGCGTGTAATACCGTAATATTCCCAGGGTACCCATGTTTAAACACCGGGGGATCTCAATATTTATCCTCACCCTTTCTGCGAACCAATCCCCCGAATTCACCGTCCCCCCCATTTCCCCTCCTCCAGTTACCTCCCCCACCGCCCCTACTGGCTCGCTCCCACTGGCTCGCCCCCACCCACCGCCTTCCTCCCCTCCTCCCATTCCCACTTCGTCGTGTGTTTACGGCATGTATGAATCGTGAGGTTAATCCACTCGTGTCTAGGCGAGGCAGGAGATTAAGGAATGCAAAGGCACCGAAAAACAACCCAGAGGAACAAATAAATGGAACAACAACCGAAAGGGAATGCAAAAAGGGGAATTGAGACTGGGTGGTGAGAACAATTAATTCACGGTGATGTGCACAGCCAGGATTATCGATAAGCCAATGAAACGGAGAGTAATTGAAAAAATGGCGATACCTCGGGACTAGTCCCGGCTGTGTTTTTGAAGGCCATTTTTTCGGGATTTATTATTGGTGAAGGGAAAGGAAGGGAAGTGCTCTTACGGAAATTTATTTTTCCGAGTTGGGAATTCAGGTTCTCAATTCGAGAATTCATATTCGGTTTCAAATATTTATATTTTTAATTTAAGAATTCATATTTTTAATTCGAGAATTTATATTTCGAATTCAAGAATTTATATTTCGAATTA